CTTCAGAACTGACTACAGTGTGTAGCAGTAGAGACTCATAAAACCCCACTGAATGTCTGAGCTGCAGAAAAGTTCTGGGATGTTTTCAAACTTAGTGGTGCCTTGTGAACAATTTGCTCAGACAGTTGTAATTCATTTCATTCGGAGTTGGACTTGGTTTGATAATCCTTGCCCTCTCCACAAGGTTTGAATTGGTTCATGGTCGTCATTGAGGGGAAACTGAGGCAAACCCTCTTAACGGGGTCTTAAAGGCATAGTGTGAGGTAATGTTGGAAGTGATAGGTTCTCCCCTGGGGTTGATTAGGCTCAACCCTGTAACTTTCACTTAATGTGATATGACCCCTCAGAGCCCCAAGTCTCTGACAACACACACGCCCTACCATTACTACCACACACAGACACATAGACACACACACAGTTCACACATTCCACCTTCAGCCCTCACGCTCCCCACTGCACCAACTGCTGTTTAGTTTAAAACAAGGCTGCCGGCAATTAACTGTGTTATGTCAAGCATATTCTCTGGCTGTTGCTCGCTGGGTAAACTGTTCCAATTGGTCCCCAGCAGCCGACTCGGTAGAACAGTAAGTAGGTGTCTCTGTTATCACAGCATGGTTTTAAAAAGCCCACTGAGGATCACACCGTGCAGTGTAGGATTTCGGGCTGGTTAGCCAACGTAGAGCTATTAGCTTTTTGTTTTGCCATGGCAACATGTGTTAGTGAACTTTAAAGGAAAAGTCCATCCTTGACTTCTCACATTGTGCACATTTGGCCGGTTACTGTGTCAATGAGAATAACAACTGAATGTGTCTGGAAATGTGAGGTACATTCCCAGGAACTTTTTGATTCTGGTGTGAATTTTCCCCCTTCAGTGTAACTTTTTAAGGAAAAAAATAACTCAAACCTGAAATGAAAACTTTCATTTATCAGTAAAACCAGTATCTTATGGTGGCTAGTATCAGCTAATGTTAGCAAACTTTAGGCGCAAACTGCCCATAGACATTTATTTTGTTGACGTTAGTATTCTGCTTTACTTGTGATACTTTTAAACTATAGTTTAGCACTAGCAATATCTAGTAATTGTCACTTGTGGCCACAGCAGCAATTATTTAAAGTTATGAAACATGTCTGTTACTTTACCTTTCTCAAAATGAGCCTACGTGACAATTACGGGATAAAAGAGTCGGAGAAAAGAGTGAAGTCCGTAAACTCAGTAATGTCAGTTATGAAGCAATATCTAGCTTAGCTTAGCTAACATGTTAGCTACCATTTGCCAGCTGCTGGTTATGGCAGACCAAATAAGGCTATAACACCAACCTCTATCATTGAACTTAACAAAGGTGTGTTTCCATTTTTAAGCGGAAGAATGTGTTATTTAGTCCTTAGAAAGATACAAAGAGTACGTTTACACGTGCACATTAGAAACACGCTTTTGATCTTTTTTGGGTTATGACATTTACATGGAACATGAGAAACCTGGTTAAACATTATCCAGGTTTCTGATCGTGTGTGTGCATGTTTGTCTTGGTTCCTCAACATCTCAGCCACTCATTTCAGAAACCTGGATAAGGTGTTTACATGCCACAGTATCCAGGTTTTTATCAAAGCACTCCAGGTAACATATCCAGGTTTCTGAAACAAAGATAAGATGTTTGTTTACATGCGCAAAACATAACTGGGACACTCCAAAAACCTGATCATAGCCACTTGTGCGCATGTGAACACACTCACAGTCTCATTTTAGGTCATTTAGTCCAATAATGATGATGATGATTTATTGTTAATAGTTTTTCAGTTATTTAATTTCAGTCATTGGCAGTTGGTGCGCTATATTCTTTTCAGGGAAGGTGATATAGCAAGGGTATTGGTTTAAAAGCATGCTCTAGGCAGGTCCATCCAGCCAAAATTCAACCTCCTTGCTAATTTTAAGTTATTTAGTGACACAGAAAACCTTTCCAAGTCTGTCTGGTTTCAGGATAATCAGGTCTGCCAGTGAGAGGATTCTTTCCATGAAGGAGCTAAGCTGACATCCCCACAGACACTAACTTGTGGAGAAGAACATCCATATTTTCTTCTCATTTGGTTGTGTTCCCATTTATGTAATAGGTCACCGCAATAACAAAACCGGTTATTTACACTCAAAGCCTAATTTATCCGCCAGATATTAATCTCTAACTGTTGTCTTGTAATTCACCGCAATGACAGGCAGACCTTTTAAATAAACACTGATGGTGACCAGAGCGAGGGAGGGCCATCGCTCTTGACGAGTGATGATCCCTTCCACTATCTCTATGCGCTCTGAGGCCTAAACAGTTTATTTCGTGTTTGCAGTCACTTCCTAGGGGTTGTTAAGCTGATGTACAGTTTGACAGGAACGGAGGGAAACCAGATCATCGGAGGAAGATTGTTTTGACCTGATAAGTAGAAATGGGTACATTAGGGAGAAAAATGGAGCAAAACACTAAAACTGGGGGATTAGTCTTGTATTCAGTTTACACAGACAGATGCCACATGCTGCAGGATACTTTTGTGTAAGAATGTGGACCCACCTACAGTATTATTTTTGTGACTTAAAGGAGCTAAAAACACAAATCACACACGGTGCTAAAATTGAGTATAGTTTTTGTATGCATATTGGTGTAGTTATCCATTGGAATATATGTTGAGATGAAAGCAATATCAAGGTCCATTCAGTGGATGGGGCTTTCAATTATACCATATGATATTAGCAATTGCCCAGTTGTCATGGAATTATAGATAATTTTTTTCTGAGCACTTTAACATAAAGTGTTCAGAATCAAATGAACATTTAAACATCTACAGGTCTATGACAGCTGGGCAAAACTTAGTGTGCTGCCCAGAGACTACAGATGGAAGGTAGCTAGTGACTAAATCTGCAGCCGCTACACAACTTGAATCATTTTTTTACTCTTCTACTGACAGTTCAAATACTTTTTTTAGTCCGTCCTCTTTAAGTTCATCCACTTTCAGTGCTTTTAAAGTGAAAATTCATCTGCCTGCAGTTCTTTTGGAAACAGAAATTTCAAATGCCTTTAGTAAATACACTTAGACACCTCATTCTCTTTCAGCACTTCAACTGCTTTAAGTGTTTCAACTTAATGCAACTGGGATACAACATCTTACATGCAGACAATTAACATCAACACTTTGCTATTTGCAGTGTAAGCAAGCTCACTTAAATCTTCAGAAATCTGTCCTGTGGCCTACTTACATTATAATTCCCCCTCCCGTTGATGCACATACCCACAGGCAAAATTCAGACTGGTACACCTTTTTTACTTACAGTAACGTGCCTTCCTCAAACCCTGAGCCACTATGTTAACGTTGGCTAATCTGACTCTGACACATGATTGATAACCTTTCCCAAGTGTGCAGGATCCAAAGGATTAGCCGTGTTTACTTCTAGTAGCATGCTGGGTACCTCCACTGTTAATGATGGGAATTAATAACCTGCTGACGCCTATGAGACAGCTATGTTTATGCACAGGCACAGACATGACGGTCTGCCCTGGACATTGAGTGTCTGCCCTTGCCCAGAAAGGTTTGTGTTTATATGTCACTTATGATGATGGTAATATTCATTTTGGTCTAAAATGATTCTTTCCAAATGTGTTTTTTTTTTGTCGCTGAGGATTGGCCTTTAACATTTTTGGGTCATATGACTTACTGAGATATTAATAATACAGGATTAGTGCAGTGTTTACATTTCTTCCTCGCTATGTATCTGTCTCTCTCCCTGCTTCTGGCTTTATCCCCCCCTCCCTCTATCACACACACACACACACACACACACACACACACACACACACACACACACACACACACACATACTAAGGGGCATGAGAACAGGGTAAATCCTTGACAACTTCAATGAAACCTCACACAAAGAGTAAAACTCGGGGGGATGAGAGAAATGCAACACCGTACAGTAGCCTGACCTCCTCCAGCTACACAGACATGTATGCACCAGATACCGGGCGTGGCCGCCATTCTGCACAAAGCCAGAAATAAAGAGCGAAGCTATTGCTTTCAGCAGCAAGACCCCCAGGTGACCTTCTTCATCGACCTCAGCATGACCCCATAGTGAGGAAGGAGAGAAGCAAAGCGCCCGGTATCACTGCACAGGAGTCGAATGCTCATCACAATAGCTAAAAAAGAAGGCGCTGTCATTGTGTGCTCACAGTAAATCAGCATGAAGTTGACAGTCCCAGTTCTTGGGCCTGTGTGCCCACCTTAAAGGCTGGCACACTCATAAGTCAAACTGTTTTCTCCATCTACACTCTCACTGTGAGTGTAGCCTGAAGACTTGGGTCATCCATGCATTGTTTCTTAAGTATTTCTCCACAGCTGGGCTGGTTTGTCTGTTTCAGGTCAAATAGAGGTTCATGGCTTCGGGGTTCAACTGTACTAAGCTTACACTGAGGAATGTGTCGCATCGAGCTTCAATACCAGCTGGCAATGGAAGCTTGGGGCTTGGGGAATTGATCATTTCCACCCTCAAACCCCCTGAAATGACTCCCTCCGAAACTTAAACAAGCTCAAATTTGCCATAGCTGCATCCACGTACGCACATGCATCCACGCTTTTATGCATTCACACATAACCTCACAAATTTGAGCCTCCTAGGGTGAAAACTGTGGCCGCCGAAGGCTAGGGAAATGTTTGTGGACCAGCTGACCAACCGACAGAGCGAGCTATAGAGCCGCTGCTAAAGAAATACAACAATCAGTAGACTCTGCAGCTGGGTTTGAAAGCAACATAACAATTGAATTATGCTTTGTTTTCTCATGCCTTTACGTGCACTATTCTTGTACATTAGGCAGATCCCCTTCCATCTTAACTCAAGTGTAAACAGTTATCTTTTCTGTTTATGTTCAGATACGTGACAGTTAACCCTGCGAGAGCACTGCATAACCACCGTATAAATCTATCTATCTTTTGTACGTTTTCTCACATGTCATTCTGTGTTTCGTCCACAGTCGACCTGGAGCACATGAGGACAGTTAAGGCTGACAAACACCAGCGTTTCTGCCAAGAAAACGGCCTCATAAGTCAGTTTGTATCAGCCAAGACGGGGGACTCGGTCAGTATCCGCTGATTAAATGTGTCACAATGACAATGTGAAGTACAGAGTGACTTTGCTAAGACTTACTGTCCTATTTTTTTGTTATCTTTTTCTCCAGGTGTATCTTTGTTTCCAGAGAGTGGCTGCTGAGATTCTCGGTATAAAGCTAAACAAAGCAGAAATAGAGCAGTCCCAGGTGAGCCATAATGACATCAAGGTCTCTTACTCAAATTTCACAAAAATGTCTAAGCAGCTGCCTCATAAGCCACATTTCAAATGGCTTATTTGCTGCTAACTAGGATAGAAAATGTACATGTTTTAACTCTGCCTAACCAGCCACTTATAATGGATTGGTAAAAGAGTGAAAGTAAATGCTGATATTTTCGGGTTCCTCTTGCCTAGCTTTATGTGTAATGTTACGCCTGAACCTAAGGGAGGTCGCAGTCAGTGTGTTAGGTCAGTGGAGTTCACCACACACTGTAAAGGACCTTTTGTTGTGTAAACACGAGTTTGTTACGTCTGCCTCCTATGATAGTCTACCTGCCACTGACACAGCCCATCTGTAAATAGACCCACATTGACCACATTAGTGCGTGAAGTCAGAGGTTAAAGGTAGGCAGTTGTAGGGGTGAGGAGGTTAGGATTGGCTGTCTGATTTATTTGGTTTATCTCCCACCGTTTTGGGCCAAAACAGTCTCAGCTTGCCAGCCCGACCAAGGTGCCCAATGGTGGCAGCTGTAGGATTTACAAGGTCACCTCCCCCAGAAGCATTAATCCTGGGTCTGATATGACCGCTTGGAGCCACACTGGCTGGGTAGTGGTGGTTGATGAGCCTGGGGGCTACAGAGAGGTCAGGACCCTCAGAGAAGGGAGAGCATGTAAGGGAAGGACTGGCCAAATTCTTAAGCCCCTCTCCCATCACCAACACTACTGCTGACTAACTGAAAATGGCCATCAACTAATGGAGCTGTCTATCTACTTTCTTCTTCCTCCCCTCCCTTGATAGCTCTGTCAATAAAGCAAAGTGGTTTAATCCAGGCTAATCAAGTAGGGTGAGTGGCTGGATCCAAGAGACTGAGACTACTTGTGTGTGTGTGTATATATATATATAAAAATGTGTGATGCAGTTTAATGGAAAAATACAATTGTAACAGTAAGACAATGGTCTTATTATGGTGGCCTTAGCTCATAGCAGAATAAGGAAGAACAAATTGTGTCAAATGGACTCTAAAATACATATGGCAACAAGACTGCATGTACAATACCTAGACAATTGTAAAATGTGATTATGAGAGAGACCTAATTGCGTCATTTTCCACCATATATCCACCATATATGTGTGTCATCGGTAGTTCTGCAACAAAAGTTGTTTCCAGAAATCTCAAAAGCATAAAGATGTGTGGCTTTGCATTAGGATATTTTTTGTTTTGCAAATTCTGATGATCTACTGAACTTTATTTTTACCATATCATGAACACACTCAATACATACTGCATGTCTACTGGTTTGGTCTATGGCTGAAAAATAGTCAGAAAATAGTAAAAAAGTTGCTAATCACACATTCTCAGAGCATTTCAAATATTTTGTTTTGTTTGAGCAACCGTTCAAAATCCAAAGAAGTCTAGTTTAAAATGAAAAGCAGCTAAATCTGCACATTTAGGAAGTTTTGGAATGTTTAAATTATTAAAAATAGTCTTAGTAAAATGAATTGACCAATTGTTTCAGTTCCAGTTCGGTCTACAGAAACGTATTCTATATAGTCAGACAAACTCTTTAAAAGACAATATCGTTTTCTAATGTGGAAATGGATATAGAGGTGAGGCTCTGAGCAGGTCATCGCTCTGGGTCTAGCCGTGGGGCCAGCGAAGCCTCATTATCAGCTGTCAGCTTTAGAGAGCTGAACATGAGGGTCACAACCCCTGACAGTATTATATCTGCCTGGCAGCCCTCTCCGTCATGGTCCTCTGTCTGTTGGAACAGATAGGGAGGCCACGGATCACTCACCGACTCCGACACCAGACTTCGGCAGCTTGTTAATCAGACAGCCAACCAGGGCCAGCTATTCAGCCATGTGGTCTGTTCTTCGGTGGTTATGGGAGTCCAGCAGTCTGTTGCACCATTAAGATCACATGTAGGCTAATTTGAACTTGCATTCCTACTTAGGCCGAAGCTTATGTATTCTGGAAATTGAACAGCTACCCCATATAATGTTCCAATGTATGTCTTAGTCAAAAAGTATAGCTTCAAAATGCTGTACGAGGTGTAAAGATGATCATAAATTAGCTAGACTTTGCACATTGGTCAGAAAAATGGAATAAAGCGACTGGAGGACCCAGAGGAACAAATACAGCTTGCTTTACATTGGCAACATAAATAGATTAGTGTACCAATAAGGGATTCATCATGAAGACATGTCTATCGTTCTCTTAATGATCAGGGATTCACATTAGACATAACTTTTATTTAATATTTGGCTTTATTAAAGAGCATTCATGTTTAGTTATAAAAAAGCTTCATACTATCAAATGTGAACAATTTACTGTTGTGTCACAATTAATACTTTATTCATGGAGTCAGTTTTGAAAATCTAATAATCGTTTAAAATATGTATTAAACAATAATGCAACATTTTCTGGATTCTGTTAAAAGTGAGTTTTGCTATTTAGGGGATTTGTATTATTGAATGAACAAAAACCATCACACTGGGCTCTGGGATGTCATATATTATATAGTATAGTCAAGTAATTATCAGTTACAGCCTGAATTTACAGCCTTTTAAGTTTATTCCTTTGTTCAATGTGAGAGATGTGAGAGTTTTGGGTCCTAACTTACATTGTTGGCCATGTACTCACTATCTGTACACACTGATGTCATGCTTCACTTTTGTTTTTTGTCCGTTTCTTACATTTCTTGTTCATTTCTCTCACCGCATGACCCTCACCTCATCCTCCTTTCCTATTCATTGTCCTCGCCCTGCTTGACTCTGGTCTCTATTCTCCATCCTCTCCCGTGTCTTGCTCCTTGTCCTTTTGCTTACCTCCATCTCTCCCCTGCTCTGACGTGTTGAATCTGCTCAGAGGATTGTGAAGGCTGAGCTGGTGGACTACCCACAGGATGAAGGCCCAATTAGACACGAGAACAACCAGCAAAGCAAAATATGTTCCGTTCAATAACTGGAAGTATGTCTCCATGTAGAACTGCCATAGATCTTAGACAGCAAAACCAGTTGCTTTGTAGTTGTAGTACATATCACAGTCATGCTGGATGTATTGTTGTCCATGGTAGAGAAACCCTGCAGACTAATAGAACCTAATCACCCCCCTCCTCTGTTGTTATGTAGTGTTAGAACAGAGTTGACAGTATTTTGCCGAAGTGTCTTAGGATTATAAGTAATGTGTGTTTTGCTGAGTTGGTTGAGAGTGATATAGTGAGAAAAAAATCTTTATGATGGTAACAAATATGACCGCCTCCTCCAACTGCCTGGGCGGGGTTGCACAAATATTCTGACCAGCGCCTTAAAACACGGCATTGATTTTGAGCCATGTACTAATAAACGTTAAAGGAATAGTTTTGGGAGACATGTTTATTTGCTTAATTGCCAGATCAGATTGAATATGCGTTACATATGAAGCCAGCAGCAAGCAAGACCTCATAGAAGTCACTGCTCCTGACCAAGAAATAGTCCAGCCCGCAGACTTACTCCATACCACAAAAGTTTAATAAGGAAAATATTTCGATCCTAGTTGGGTCTGGGTATGGTCAAAATGTTTGCTTTGAAACTGCACCCATATTTATACATTGTGCACATCAATATTGATAAGCTTAATGGTGGCAGGTGTGGTTAAATATCACAGCAAGGGTAATAAACATCCCAAAACAATTAACAATACAATAAAGTACATAGAAAAAGGTATAGAGATAAATAATTGATGAATTGATGCTATCACTTGATAGCCTTGCACAAGTGATGTGTGTCTAATTACTTTCCTTCTTCAAGAAATAGGTTTTTGCATGGATTAAATAAACAAGATATCACATGTTCATTAGTGAGCTTTGGATATACTGGTAGGTGGGTTTTGTTACAGTCATTGTGCTAAGCTAACCAGCTGCTGGCTGTAGCTTCATATTTACTGTACAGACATGAGAATCAATAGTCTCTTCTATTTACATCTGTCTCCGTTTTAGGGGCTCAAAAACGCCTGTGCATTTAAAATTAAAACTCTTTGCAAGATAGTGAAGTTGACTATTGCTTTAACAAAGTGCATATTTTTTTAAATTTGCAGTATATAAGGCTTCATTTTTAACAGCTAATCTTATTTATTCTCATTCTCACTCTCTAGAACTTCTTGTAAAGCTGTAAAAATGAAGGAAACTTAATTTAATATGTGGCCTCATGGAGGTTACTAGAGCCTTTTTAAAATGAAGCTTCCTAAACTTCTGCACATTTTAACACTGTAAAGATTTGACTCTTTGTTCGTATTGTTGTGGCAGCTTTTTGTCTTTATCTGTCTTTCCCATCTTTTCAGCGTGTGGTGAAGGCGGACATTGTGAACTACAGTCAGGACACCGTGGCCAGGACAGTCAACCCACCTCGCAGCTCCATGTGTGTGGTGCAGTGACACCCTCCAAGACACATACGCACACACGCACACAGTCACACAGTCACACAGTCACACTTAAAGATGTAAAATTGTTCTTCAGTCAGTATTCCTCTTTCAGGATTTTTGGTGTGACTGGATGAAATGTGGTCAGAGTGTGTTCTCTGTATTCCTGTGTGTCAGTTGTTCGGGCGAGATGAAGAACAGACTGTGTGGTTTCGAGGCCTTGGCCTGTAGTTCGGATATTTAGCAGGAAAGATCTCTTGGGTGGTTCACCAAAAAGGAAACGGGACCTCCGTTTTTTCAAGTTTACATGCAGCTATCATTTTATTTCTGTGATTCATCTTAAATAAATATAAAAAAGACTTGATTAATGTGTTAGTATGAAGCTGGTTGTCTAAAAGAGAAAGACAATTGGTGTAATCAGTCACTTCGGTAATTGAAAATATTTTTATACATGTATAAGTATATTTGCTTTGCCATTGCTATTAGGCATATTTGTTTGAATGATTAGATATGCTGCTGTATATTTCTATCGATATCACCATCAATACCTGTTAAATCTCTGTCCCTACGACTGCAGAGTGGATTGGGTGTGAGAGTTAATGGGACATGAACAGGGAGGTGAAACCAAATGTTCTCCCATACAATTTTCTGATATTCTTTTACGTCTGTGGTGCTCCTCAGTTGACCAGGAGGGAGATAGGAGTTAAAATGCTGTAGTGGACTGAAATGAATCTATGTTTTCAATTTGCCAATTAGGGGCTTACACTAGCAGTGCTGTGTCGTGAACTGTGTCCTGTTATTTTTACATAGAAATATTTACATTTTACAATCTTAAATCAACATTTACAGTTTATATTCTTTCTTCTTCTTCAGATAATATCCAAATAATTTACATCCTTCAAATAGTATCTCCATTCTCCAGATATTTCTTCTGGAGTCTACATTTGCATTTTGATCATTTAGCATTACATTTGTCAAATTCCCGGATTCGTCTTGTTAGAGGACAATTCAGACGCTGTGTTGATAGATGAATATGACTCAGGAAGGAAGTACCTGAGTGTCAAGCTGAGCATGAGCTGAGCTGAAATGAAATGTACAGCTTTTTAGTAGAGGTCTCTACATAGCCTTATTCAACTGTCCGTTATAGAACAGAAGTTTGCATTGAAGAATGGCTATGAGGCATGAAAAGCTTCATAGGATCTTCATTATGACCACATAATAGCCTGTTTGATGTGTATTGTTAGAGACAGCTGAGATATTGTATGTCTAATCAGTTTTGTCATAGTAGTTTCTGCAGTACATGTTGGCATGATGGGTTTTAATATGTGTCCACTTACCAAAATATCTGCCATATGTGTAAAATATGTGTTTGTACAATAAAAGCAACCTCTGCTCCATTTCAAAGCTCCTGTCATTGATTAGAAATGATCAGAACGCATTCTGTTAATTATGATCATGTAAACAAAATACAGTTTAAAGTGAATGTTTAGTTGATGTTCTACAGCGACACAGATTTGTGTTTCTAAATAAAAATGCTACAAGGAAAACAAGAAATGATCTGTGCAGTGCAATCTGTGAGTACATCATTGGTGTGTGAGATTACCTCACTGTCTCATAATGGATGATTATTGATAATTGATTTTGCCTAATACTGAATACTTTGGCTGGTATCCTTGTGAAACATGTACTAAACTGCATTCTATGTGGCATTAAAGTTGACTTTGGTGAACCCTGTAGACATCCTTGAAATGTTAGTTTGAGAAGTATAGTTTTACAAAAATACGACCTCTATGAATGTGTCCAGGCCTCCTCATTACTCAGCCTTTGTTAGCTTGATACCACATTCGGGGCCTTGGTTTCATTGCAATTTTTCACTCCATGTTGCTAACACAAACTAATAGGAACAGGCCCTGGAGGTGCTCATATGAACGACAGATGATGGGAGTGGGACTATAGCTGATGAGGGCATTACAGATTAAGGATCCATGTGTTGAAATTTAAGCATAAGGACTGAAACTTGACTACCCCAGCAGATCCCCGCTATACAGACTAACCTAAGTCTCTGGTAGCTAATAAGCCACCTGGTCTTTGTTCAGTAAATCTTCACTGAAACAGCCCCTAAATCCACTCTGGACAGATGATACAAACGGCTTTATAAATGGTTGTAAGCTGTATTAATGAATCACTTAAATAGTCCAGCCTTTTGTTGCTGTCACACAACTGTAAGAGGGTTCTGGTTTTGGGTTTAACCCTTTTTTTTTTCTGCTGAGTCAATGTCACTGAAACCGCCGGTGTGTTTAGAAGGATTAAGTGCATTCAAAACCACAGAGACAAACGCAACAAATGCTGTATCTTTACAGGAATATCTTGCATTTCATCTTCTTCTAGGTGTTGATAAATGTTACTGTGTGTCTGTTGCAGCACCACTGCAAACAACACTGAAACTTAATGGAGAGTGAGGCAGCACAGCTGGGGTCATTCCAGCCCACGTGCATTGTCTCGCTTGAGTGGACGTCTTAGGAATTGTCTCTGCTGAATTTTTGTCAAGAGCTGTCACACACGCTGACAGGTGAGACTTGCCCTTGGCTTTGCCGCTGTTTAGACAGGTGTTTTTGCAAAGAAAACAACTGCAGCCCCGCTTCCAGCTTAGACACTCACAACACCGACGTTCCTCTGAAGACAGAAGGATATTGCTGTGCGGATAATGCCTGGGAAGGGTGAGGCTTTTGACAGATTGGCAAAAGTCAAGGGTGATTTGCGTCAAAATGAATTTGTCTACCTGTTTCCTCAGTAGCTTCATGTGAATCATTTTGTGTGTGTTAGTCGGTTTTGGTGTTTGCTCACTCTCCATTTGGGTACACAGACCAGCGAAGATGCAGAAGTAAACAGACAAACTGTACTATGTATTTGTTCATATGCAGTCAACCACTGTGACACATTAAATTTGCTCACTACTTTGTAGTCTCAGAATAAGTTTTGGTCCACCATCAAACCAAAACACTACTTCCCTCTGAAGGTCTTTGCCTCTTCTCTCAGCTTTCAGCCTGTGTTTACTTGAATTCAGTGGGCACAAGATCTGCTTTTTTGTATTTCCCTTTCCTCTTCCTCCCCGTCTGTGTTTCTCATTGCTGAAACGCTGTGATGACAGTGTCAAAAAACCACACACGACAAGCTGGTAAGAGGGCCATAGTTGTGGGTTGTGCTTTTTTTTGCGTGGGCAGAATGGGGGCCAACACCCTCGTGATTACCCACTCACCCCTCTTCCGTTTTCCACCTGTGCAGAGTGCCAGACCCACAGCGCTGAGGGAGTAGGCAGGACTGAGTCAACCCCTCTGATGAGCTCCAGTCCCCCTGGTCCCCACACTGGCTCCTATTCTCTGGTAGAGCACAGTGGGCCAGCCAGCAGCAAGAGGAGTGACAGGCAAGGCAAAGGCAGGGCCTGCGCTGGGCCAGAGCTGGCATCCAGTTATATTCCGAGCCCCCGAGGTGAGCCAGCAGTGCTTAGTTCCCAGGGTACTTCAGAGGATTGCTGTCCTCTGTTGTCTGTGGGTGTCCCTAAGTGTGTGTGTGTGTGTGTGTGTGTGTGTGTGTGTGTGTGTGTGTGTATACAAGGATGTGTGTTGGTAGATTGTGAGAACTCTGGTTGTCTCGTTTGCAGACTGCAGCTTGTGTAGACTGTCCTGGTAGGTGCCGTGTGTCTGCTGCAGCTGAAAGGCACATAATTTATTTTAGGGGCACGGATGTGGGCATTCAGAGGGGTCATATTTATAGTCCGTTGGTCTGGTGAGAAGACCTGCCAGTAAAAGCACAGATTCTGAAAAAGAGGCACGGGGACAGAAAACTGAAAGTCTTTCTCTCTTTAAAGGCCACGGATGAATGCTATTTTCAGTGGGCTGTAATGAATAGCACTTAAAACTGAATAGCTCTTGTATTGGATTTTAGATGCAGAGGGAAGGGGAGTAATGAGGGAACAATAACAAAGCCTCTCTACAAGGCATGTGATATATTCTTTCAGTCTAACAAAAAAAATGAAAAAATCTGGTGGTGTTAAGATAAGAAATTACATTATCTAACTTGCAATTAAATCCTCACTGCTTTTAGGCTTGGAAGGTTGAGCTTGCTAAATTTACCACAGCTACAATTGATTCTACTGGTGAGCCCCCCAGTAAAAACCACCAGTGCTGAAAAAAGAGCTGAAATTATACATTTATTGACAGCAAATGAAATATGTAATTATCTGATTATCGATTAGCTGTAATTTTCCAAGAATAAATGAACAACATGCTGTTCCACATTTACAAATAGGAGGATTTTCTGCTTTTTTTGGTCATACATAGTAAAGTGTTACTGTACCTACAATAGGCATGCAGTTTCGATTGCTAATGAGTTCATTAATTAGCATTTTCTTTCAGTGTTTTGTAATCTGTAATACACTGTTATTTTATAATTTTGTGGCTTGTGTGTGTGAGTCTGTGAACTTAAATTTAAATTTGAAATATTTCCCATTTTTCCCAAACTTCTACAATCTGACATTATGTATACATAATAATGAAAGGCCAGAGGCTGTCTCATTCCTAAGAAGCAGATTATGAATGTACTTGGCCTTTTTTAGAGCTGATAATTGACACCTCGTCTGACTTGCAGACCCGTATAGATCACGTGTTTGATAAAGGATCTACTCTGTTAGAAGAAGACACAATGATATTGTCATGTAAAAATGACAGTAATGATCCAACTTGAGCACTTACCTTCTTCTGAGCACCTGAATTCATCCTGTGCCATCCTTCAACAAAGAGACGGTTACTGGGTGGGACCAGAGTTGGGTGTCACTACTTACCGCATCTGTTGGAAGATAAATATACATAAAAGAGTTTATAAGCACAGTGAAAATATACGCAGGGAGGCAGATTACAAGGTCATTACTCAACTCGGCTCCCTCTCTGTCTCTTTTGCTTTGTGATTCCTCCCTCATTGTTCCCCAAAATACTTTGGATACAAAACCTGATACGAGAGCCATTCAGTTTTTTAAGTGCTATTCATTACAGCCCACTGAAAATAGCATTTATCCAAAGATGACACTTCGAGGCCTTTCAAAAGACTACTTAGGAGATGCTGCAGTGCTTTCAGACACTGAAGTGTGAATACAGATGTAGACGTTCCACTGTGGCATTTCTTGAGGTGGGAAAGTATTGCTCTGGGATTATGTAAGTGCCTCTGTGGAGAAAAAATGTCTATGGCCAAAATGAATTGAGCATTATTGCTAATTACAGAGGGTATATCCCTTCTGGATTTGCGGAAGTATGCTAATTCCATGTTGATCTGTACCTCAAATTATGTCCCATTTAACATGCGACAGAGTGGAACTTTCACTCCATATTTGACTGGAAAATTCATTTAGTGTGGAGCCTCAAAAATGAGTCAGTCCTCAGCGGCCTCTGTGGAGAAACAATAGTGTGTGAAGATGGCATGTTACACAGTACAAGTCCATGTTTATTGACATCCATGAATGACTGCTTCAGGTGTTCATTTCTCTGCAGGGACGACAGCTTGAAAAGAAGAAAATCTGTTGAAATGTGTTGAAAATGTGGTCTGTCTATCCTGTCTCTTTCCAAAGAACAAAAGGCACAGGAATATGAATTGTTCCACCAGGTGTGTTTGGAAATGACGTGCTTCATGATCTGTACAGAGGGTACATATCATCAGTGAACCTCCACCATGTCAACTTTTCAGGAATCAAGAAAAACAGCTTTTATTTTTAGCTTGACGCATTGCTCATATTATCCAACACGATTTTAACCGGCCAAGAGGTTTGACAGGATTCTCAGCCCAAAAATGAACAAATGAAACGCTACATTTATCTGAAGTGAATATTAAAATCACCAGAAGTTGAAGGTGATGAGATTTTTGTTCAATATTTGATGGATGAGGCAAATGTTTTAGGAAAAAAAAAAACCCTCTTCTCGACAGTTGTTAAGTATAACTTGGCCAAGAGACCACACACTGAACATGACCAGTCAGCCTGTGGACTTTCACAACTTGCTTGATGTATACAAGTGATCGATAAGGTTCCAACTTCACTGTTCCACTTGAAAGTGAAGGTGGGCTCTGTCTTTTTCTTCCTGTTTCTTTTCACAGTAAGCAGGAAGAAGGTGTGTGTGCAGGAGGCGACAGATGAGATTAATTTGGTATAATTCTCGTGACCCAATGATGAAGGTCAAATGGTTGGAAGGACTCTCTGTGCTCATTTGGATCAGTTACTGAACATGCAGGAGATGTTGGCAGATAGGTAAGAGAAGGCAGCTCTCTGGGTAGAGTGTGTGCCCGATGTACGAAGTCCTTACTCCCCAATTTTCCTGTCACTTGGTAATCTATTTCTGTGTACTTTTTAATGTTTTCTGCCGGCTGTTGTGTGCCCAAATACGTTGATGGGTCTAGTCCAATTTCCCTGTGGAGACAATCAAGTCTGTCTGTCTGTCTGATTAAGGCAATAAAAAGCTCAAAGACTATCTTCAAAAGAAAAAGGGAACAGAAGGTTAAAAAAAAAAGTTTGACATGTTTGTCTTGTGAGACGTCCTAGTTAGTTGTCTTCCATTGTGGTTTCCAACGCGCAAATGCTGTCACCAGTGTCCCGCGTTTGTTGTGAAAGAATGGATTACAGACGTTATCACATCGATATCTTGTTGTCTGTAGGCATTCAAACTGAAAACACCCCTGCACTGATAAACATGG